TAAACACAAGGCTCCTGGAACTGACAATACCAGTTGAGATGTTTGAGTGAATGGATGCAATGCTGGTAGCACGCATGCTCCTGTGCAAGAAACTTGGAAGACAGCTACCTGGCCAACTGACTGCAAGATATCCATGCTCACGCTCATTCTAAAGAAAGGCCATCCAAAAAGGATCTACAAATTGTTGAACAGTATCATCAATGTCTTGCACAAGTAAAGTTTCGTAAAAGGTAACTTTAAAATTTTATCAGTGGTCCACACACAGGTAATTACTGAAAATTCAAATCACATTCAGAAGTTGTAGAACGAGAGATATCAGTCCTGCCATCTCAAGGATCTTGGATGAAAGCAAAAATGCCAGAAAGATTTTCACTTGTGTTTTACTGACTGTGCAAAGACATCAAGTGTGCAGATCATAACAAGTTACGCATAACACTGTGAAGAACGGAAATTTCAGAAAGCTAAAGTGGACCCGTGCTGAAAATGCACACAAGACAGCAGACAGTTGTTTGGCCAGAATAGAGAGGTACTGAATATTACAATCAGAAAAGGCAGGTTTCAAAGAGGTATCCACTCACTATATTTATTCCACCTATATGCTTGGCATATAACCTGAGAGGCTGGGCTCCATGAAGAAAATGTGGCCTTAGGATTGAGAGGAGACTCACCAGCAATCTATAATGTGTATATTATACAACCTTGCTTGTTAATACCAATGAGGGTTTGAAGTACCAATACCAGTTGAAATGTTTGAGTAAATGGATGCAATACTGGTAGCACTCACACTCAAACACCATTGTCTTCAATATGGATTACACCTCAATACAAAAGAAACGAACATCTACTACACAACTGGACCAGTAAACAACATCATGACACACAGAAAAAAGACTGAAGGTGTCAAAGAATTTGACTTGTAAATACAATCAAGGCCTAAGGAAGCAGCACTCAAAAACAATCTATTACATGGGGCAATCGTCTACAAAAGACCTTTTTAAAAAGTCTTTAAAAGTGCCAAGGTGCAAGGACATCACTCTGGGGATGACACTGTGCCTGAACCCAAGCCATAGTCATTTTAATTGCCTCATATGCATGTGTAAACTGGACCAGGAATAAGAAACACCAAAGAAGAATGGAAGCCACTGAATTGTGGTGTCCTTCTAGAATACCAACTATCTCATGGGCTGCCCGAGGAATGACCAAATCTGTCTGGGAAGAAGTATACCCAGAATGCTCTCTGGCAGAAAGGACGGTGAGACTTCGTCATTTTATCAGGAGGAACCAGTGTCTACAGAAGGGCATCATCCTGCTTAGAGAGTCAGTAAAAGGGAGATAGACCCTCAAGGAGACAGACTGACACAATGGTTTTAACAATGGACTTAAACAGCAAAAACTATGAGGCTGGAACAGGAGTGGGCACTGTGTTCTCTGTGGGATACTGGCTTACTCCAAGTCAGAACTGACTTCCCTGCATCTAATAATGACAGCTGATGTTTATATTAATAACATGCATCACAGAAAACGTCCACAAAGATACCTCAACAGCCCATCACCTGCACATCACTCACAATCACGCCCAAGTTTCTACTGTAAGGACAGCTCACACTAAAAGCTGGACTGAGTCTGTATCTAAACCACAGCCCCCTCAGGGAAATGAGCCCTGAGCCTCAATTTCCCCAGACATTACAGAGAGGCAGGCTGCACGCCTGAAGAAACATGCACACTATGGATATAAAAACTTAAGGGAAGTGCCCTAAGGCTTAATTCCTTAAGGAACTGCTTAAAAATTGCAAAACACATTCTGAGCTAGAAACTTTACTCATAGTTCCTTCAACTCTGTACTCTCCTGTCAGGAAGCAGAGAGCAGGAAGGGGTAAGAATCAAAAGAGAATCCTCACATCTCATACCTAAGGAAAGGAGAGCCAAGAGGTGAAATGACTTGCTCAAGGTCACAGTCTTGTTCAGGCTGCCAGCCCAGCTCCCTTTTCAGGACAGCTTGCTACTGTATCAAGCCTCAAAACGTCACGGCCAAGTGAATACAGAGCTACGACAGAGTCCAACAGAGACAAAAACAATAATGTTGAAAGTGCAGCAAAGAACACGGCACTAGAATGATCGCACTCAAGTTCCCACCAAGAGGAAAATGGTATTAACTTTAAACTTGGGCATTTACTACAAAAATACACGTTCCGTTATTTTCAAAACAGTAAAGTCACTCATCATTTAAGGCTTAATGATCCAAGGTACTAATGGTGAGACAGCCCACACCTCCCATCCACAATCCCTTGGTCAAAAATGATGGGTGGTCCCCAGAGTTTCCTTCTGAAACTTAGCTCCCTCAGAATGCCAAATGCTGACAAGACCTGTCCACCTCTGCACCCAGCTCCTGGCAAAACCACTTCTGGGGTGAATGAGGATGATGAACGAGTGTGGTGGCTGGTCACATTCCACAGAAAGGCAGCTGGATTTGCTCGGGAGACCCAGCACTGAAATTAGGATACCAGATGCATCCTTTCAACAGTATCTCAACTCCAACTACCAAATACTTAAAAAGCAAGAACAAAAACAAAGACCATGATTGCAGTAAAAACAGCACAAGAGTAGCAAGCAAAGCTTATACAGAAGGCATTAAGTTGCTGGCTCACATGAGCTGGCTACATGCGGTTTAATTAAGCAAATCAAGAGCCAGGTATTAAGAGATTCTGGGCATATTTCAAAACAGACTTTAATGATATCAAAAGTGGCCTGGCGCCATTCCACATTTGCCTCACTGCTTCCCAACTACCACCATCATCATCTCTCATCCCAGTTTGAATCCTGGTAGAAGAAACAGTTTCGTCAACTGAACAGGTCTTGGAGATGCACAAGAAGGCCAAACAGTTAGGGGCTGGTCTGTGATTGTTTCCTCCCTAAAGGTGACTGCCAAAACCTATTTTCTTGAGAAAACTGGGGGTTATGCTTGGTCATCACAGAGGAAAAAGATCCTTTATGGAAACCATCTAATTAGCCTTTCCCTCCAGGCACTGCATGAGCGTGTATCTAGGTTCCTACGGAGTAAAAAGAAATTTCTGAAGCTAGGCTTAAAACCCTAGAAAAATTAAAATGTCACTTCTTGTTACAAATTGGAAAAAAAAAAGTATGCATCCCGATCAAAATTGCCTGGTTCCTGGGAGAAAGAAGGCTGTTTAAAAGTGCACCTGAATCACTTGTTCTAGGACAACATTTTGGATGTGTGCAACTCTTAAGCTGGCATCCACTAAGGACAAGTCACTGACTCTGAGTGAAGGACAGAAGGTGGAGGGCTGGAGGTAAGGCGGGTGGTGGAGAGTGGGAATGTGTGAATAAGGCTCTATGAATAAGTGTGTAAGGAGGAGAAGGCGGCATGGGGCACTGATAACACCCTTACAATTCTGCTTCATCTGAAGGCTATTCTGGAACTGGGAGGATTTCCTCCGTGACTAGAAGGGAAGGCAATGCCAAAGAACGCTGACTTCCCATCTGGAGGCAGAGAAGCAGGAGGAGGAAGAAGAGTGAGGGCTTTTATTCTCCCTCCCCACTTATTTCCAACACACCAGTATTTTCCAAAACACAAATGCACTGCCACAAAACACAGCTGAGCTCCACCATCCAGCGCGATGTATAATTAATGATTAGGAGAGAGCTTCGGTTCAGCCTGTGTTTTTATTATAGGGGACCTCCAGATAGCCCAGCTTCCCCACCTCTTCCTTTAGCAACCACAGCTCACTGCTACAAGTTGCTTCACCCTGTGGAAGTTCGGGGGAGGGGACACCTTGCATTAAGTTTACCAGAAAAGGTATGATCATTGGAGAGCAAGCATGTGTCAACCCTGAATGATCCCCACACAGGCCTCCTCCAAAACCAACGGCTGCCAAGTCCCCCAAGATGGGGCATACCCACCAAAATGTGCCTCTATTCACTTTGTTCTTTCCTTTCTTTTGATTAATCACTTTTCTATCAACCCCTCGTTCCTCAGCTTCCAGCCAGTGAGGCATGGGGTGGGGAGGAACCTCCAGAGACTCAGAGACAGAGTGGGCAGCCAGCCTACCATCAGGGTGTGTTGAGCCTTGATGTTGGGGGCGTCCCTGTGCCAAGAATAGCCAAAACTGAAGCTGGCATCCAGGCACCTCAAAAGCGCAGGGGAGAGACTCAGCGTGAAACCATGGCCTCAGCCAACTCCAGAAGCCCTCGAGATCCAGCTCCACACCGCATCAGCATTCCAGCGGACCCTGAGTGGGTGGTATGGGGGCGACAGAGCTGAGGCTGAGGGTACGTTCCAGGAGAATATCCAAGGATGGAGAAGACCAGGAGTGACATCAAATCCGGTGGGTGACCTCGCAACATTCCTAAAGTGGCAGCCCAAAAGGATTCCTCCCCAAATGGGGTGAGCTCCCCAACTTTCTCTTGCCTTCCAAAGTCCCCCCACTCCCTCGGGCCACGTCTCTCTTCCGGAATTCCCTAATCTATGAGGTTTTTCTCTCACAACCAAAGGATGTTCCGTTTCTGGTGACCCCACAAACTTATCTCCCCAACAGGTCCTCAAAGTGCTGCTGCCCTTAGTCGCCCCTTCCCAAGCCAAGGTAGCTGAGTCGCACTGAACACTCACCCTGGGAGTCCCAGGGCCCTCTGTCTCTGAAGGGTTGACTTTCTCTACCCTGTGCCCCTGCACCCGAGCGGAACGCGTCCCCCAACCCCGTTCCAGCCTCTGCTGCAAACAACCCCACAATAAACAAGGAAACGGGATTGGGCGTCCGCGTCCCGGAGCGCGCCAGCTGGGGGCAACTCCTCACCCCCGGCGCGCTGCCCGCCGCGCAGCCCGCCGCCCCATCCCAGGGTGGAAGCAGAGCGGAGGGAAGGGGAGGTCGCGAGGCGAACGCGGGCAGGGATGCAGGCTGGCACGCCAGCGTGCGGGGCGAGGAGGTGGGCTGCAGCGCGAGGAGCTGCGGGCTGGCGCAGGGGGCCGGGCGCCGGGCGCACCTTACCTTCGTCTTGCCCCCGCAGTGGCAGCAAACGGTCCACAGGTACTTGAGCGTCCGCCAGAGCAAGATGATGAAGAGGCCCCCGAAGAAAGTCACCATGGAGGAGGCCAGGAAAGCCCACCACATGCGCTGGCCCCGGCTGTCGCACGGCACCTCCATGGTCACCGGGATGATGAGCGCATCCATCTTGGGCTCGTGGACCGAGGAAGAGGAGGAAGAAGAAGAAGAGGAAGAGGAGGAGGACGCGTCTAGGCTGAGATGGTTCGCGTGGATATTGCTGCTCATTCTAAGACTGCTGCCGCCGCCGCCGCCGCCGCCACCGCCGCCGCTGCTGCTGCCGC